AACAGATGCTGGGTTACGAAACCACATTTTGCAAGCAAAGAAATAATTTGTGCTTGAATAATTCAGATGGAAAGACATTCTAGAAACTGTGAGCTGTTTTTGTGAACAAAACATGGATTTCCTCCTACTTTATGTAAAGTTTACATAACAAATTACATAACTTGTCATCAGTTGACAATCAGGTAACCAAAAACATAAAAAGATGTTTTAACACACTCAAGGATGCTAACGTTGGCCCTTAAAGGGGACCTATTATGCTACACTGATTTTCTGTCATATATAATGTTACAGTGCTGGATGTTCATTTTAAAGGTTTAAATGTTTCAAATAAATAGTTGAAGAAATGTATGTCTTTACTATCTTTAAATGGTCATCTGCTCCAGGCACGCTACCGCAAGTGTTTACATAGGCCTATTACATACACTGCTACATGTAGCTACATGCTAACATCAGGGAAACGATTCTGGTTGCAGATGGTGTTAATTTCTCCCCAGTTTTGGCAGAAACGTTTTTGGTTGTGAAGATTTTGGTTTAGAAGCTTTTAATGGTCATATTTTATGGTAGAAAGTGCTGCTATACTTTGTTACAGTAATTCCCCAGCCACAAGTACACTGCTACATGTAGCCACATGCTAACATCAGGGAAACGAGTAATTTTTGTTGCTGATGTTGTTAATTTTTCCCCAGTTTCAGATCATATTCCTGCTGGAACATGACTGGTTGTGAAGATTTTGTTTTAGAAGCTTTTATTGGGGATTTTACATGTTAGAAAGTGTTGCTATACTCCAGTGGGCTCAAGATGGAGGCTTAAAGAAATAGACGCTAAAATGGAGTGTTTCAAACCGACGGTGTCCACAGGTGCTCCGGCACGCACATGACGAGGAAAAGAAAATGTTTTTTGTGCATTAAAGCATGTACACATTATAGTAGACACCCAAAATACATGTTTAAACTTGAAAATGAGCATAATAGGTCCCCTTTAATGAAACAAACTGGGACATTTGAGTTTGTTTCTAGCATGTTAAAACACCATTTACAACAGTTTCTATAAATATCACCATATTTCCTACATATGGAAATTGCATGGATCATATGTCCAGTAGTTTAGAATAAAGGTTCAATTCCAGTCATGTGACGGCACTATTTAGGTGGACATTTCACATATGTTTCTTCCGTGTCTCTGTACTCTCCGGTTGAGCTGCTATAGCACAGTGGCTTAATCTGTGCATGGAGTCTACCCAAAGCACTCTGTCACTGTACATACAATGTCTCAAAATCTGTTCCCACCAAAATTATATACATAACTTGTAATAGCTACTTTGTTAACACTCTATCTGCCTGTGGCTCGTGTACAGTAAACCACACACAGACTTGCAGTACCTTCACAGAGCTAAGAGGGTAACTGAGGGTGGCGTCTCCAGAATAAGCTATGGCTAGCTTGGCTTTCTGTTCAGGGTCTGGCCAGGGCAATCTTTCAGAAACAGGGTGCAACTTTGAACTTCTTTGTGTTTTGAAAATGTTCTGATGAATCTCTCACAAAAGGGGTCTGTCTCGAGTGGACTCTTACAACCACAAATACTCACAGTACTGTTGCAGTTATTACTACAGGGCATTTTTAACCATCCAAACTACATTCTTCTTTTCGAGTACAAATATGGAAACATTTTCTATTTTTCTTTCTCTGAATGTGATCTTTTTATAAAAACATCCCTCCAGACAATTCTGTTGTAATAAACAAAAAGGTGCTTTTGGTCCTGTTTTAACGCGCCTGAAGGTAGAGATGATTCTTACAGCTGGGTTGTCAGCACTGAATGTAGAAATGAATTGTTTCACTCACGTCATTGCTGCTCTGCTTTGTCATCAGTGTGTGTTTGCGTGCGTGTGATTTCAAAATGACCAGCATTCAACACAAACTGTCTGTAAGGTTGAACTGGAAGATGTGATCTGCAATCTGGACAGATTCTTTATCAGTTCATGTTTTCATGTTTTGTTTAGATACGAGATTTTGTGGGATCACTTTTAAGAATGTTGACAGAGAGTCGGTGAAGTCATGTGTTTGGAAGTAGTTCATGTGTGTTTTCATGTTCAGCCACATACATTTTAGAATTAGAAATGTGTCAGCTACCAATCCAAGGGATTTAAAATGATCTCTTGTGGATTCAGGATTTAGCCAAATTCATTCAGTCTGTTAGCCATTTATTTGTAATCTGAAGGCGAGTGACTTTTCATTCAGCCATAATATTTTTGCCGACATGAAGTCACAAGTTAGGATACATCTTGTATTCAGCTGTGCCAACATAAAATCTTTGGACTCAGTACTTGTGACCCCCATCTTTTCACCTATTTCTTTCAAGTTATATTGTAAATAACAACAACCCAACAATGCAATAAACACTTTATTGCACTCAGACAGGGAGGCAAGCTACAGCGAGGGTCAGGTGATGCTAAAATCTTTAAAAGTCTTTTAACGTGGACTGAAATGTGGAACTCTACAATGATGAAACCCTGTATAGCTCATCTGAATCAGGTGATGTCGTTCTTCAGTTCTTTTTACAATTTCCTTCTCTCTTGTTTCTTTTACTCCGTGCTGTTTTAATGAATCATTCTTTTGACATTGTCAGGTTAAAAAAAAAAAGAAATGAGAAATTGTATCTGTTTCACGCTGATCTCAAAGCTTCAGGCTATAGCGTTTCAAATAAAGTCAAAACAAATGCAAAAGAAAAAGAAAAAAAATTACTGAAAGCTATTACTGTAAACACAACATTTTAAAGGAACTGTGTATGTAAAAATAGTATATGTATGTGATTGAAAATAAACAAAATCTTTGATCTTGGACAAAGGTGTACTGTTTTCTTTTAGTGAATATGTTTTTTTTCTGTGTGCCTCTGTTTGTTCCTGTCCCTTTCCCCCATAACACCCATCTGACCAAACTGTCACAGTGACACTGAGTCCCTCCTACACAGACTCAGGCTCCAGTCATCGCACCTGCTGGACTCACAATTTAAAGGCTGGCATCCATTAGCAAGTTTTCAAGCAGAATGAATACAAATAATGCATTAAAAAAATTAAAAATTAGTTTGTGGTGGTGCAGGATTAAAGCCATGTACACCGACTTTTCCCACTTTAGTGTAATGTTCTTAGTGGTGATTTATACCATGAAATAAGGTAAATTTGTCAAGGAAGAAGTATTCAGATCTTTTGCAAAAAGCAAAAGAGGAGCAAAAAAACAACAAAAAAGTAAAAGTAATACAGCAATGCTAGTGTGTAGAAATAAAAAATCCTGCAAACTTTAAAAAGTACATAAATATCAGCATCAACATATAAGAAGTAAAAGTGCTCATTATACAAATAGCCCTTTTCAGAAATATATATATATAACTGGATTATAATTATTGATGCATTAATGTGTTCATTACTTTAATGTTGCAGCTGTGAAGGTGGAGCTTATTTTAATTACTTAATACATAATATGATAATATATCATAATTTATTAGTTGATTTCTATTTTATATAAACAATCTGAATCTGCAAAATAACTATAACTAAAGCTGTCAAATAGATGCAGTGTGGGGCATCTGTGGCTTAGTGGTAGAGCAGGCGCCCCATGTACAAGGCTGTTGCTGCAGCGGCCTGGGTTCGACTCCAGCCTGTGGCCCTTTGCTGCATGTCTCTCCCTCTCTCTCTCCCCCTTTCACACTTCACTATCCTATCAATTAAAGGCAAAAAATGCCCATAAAAAAATCTCGAAACTGTATGTAAGTACAGGAATTGAGTAAACGTACTAGTAACTCGATACCATCTCTGGTTGTATTTTAGGCAGTTGTAGGCAGGGTTGTAAGTCCCTGAGCCGGACAATTTTTCTGCAATATTGGATTTTTATAAAACTTTTTGCATCAAGATATTGAAATATTTCTAAATATCACATATTGAATTTGCTAAATTAGCCAACAAGCTGATATTCATGTCTGTTTTTTTTCTTCTTCAGAAAATGTTACAATATATCAGTATCAAGATACAAAATAAATTATTATTATCATCCATATCAACTGTCATTTTTTTGCCACTCAAAACACATCCTAAGACAAATTGTTAAGTTGTTAATGTTTTGTTTTTATGGGCTGTTTCAGTTGTGAAAATGTTTGGACAGATGACAGTCAGAACTCCTCATATGAGATGTTTCTATGAATCTGTTTGCCCAACATGCCCATCTCACACTAAGTACTTATCAATAACACAGCATTCACTTATAAATCCACAATAATCATTAAAAGAAACATGAAAAAGTGATGACTGAAGCTTCTCCAATGTGAGGATTTTGCCACCATTGTATGTTTTACATTATTGAATATTTGACCTCATAAACTAAACCACTACTTTATGAAATGAAAAATAAAATATGATGAAAATAGTAATTTGTTCCCAGTCCAAATATTCACTAAGCCATGGGTCTGTAACAGGGGGTCTGCAACCTCTAGAGGGTCCCCAGAGTTACTGCTTTGGGACTGCTACATTATTGTTTAATCTTTCAAAGCCTTTTTTTCTTTCAAAAATTAAAAGATGTCTGAAAATATACATTAACATGTGTCCAAAATATAATTAGGATAACATAAATTGACCCATTTAATTTACAGTTCACAACACTGATGATAGCCTGTTACTGTTAAATCTCTGCCCTCCACATGCATAATTAATATTAAAACATGATGTATAAATACATTAATCTGTCAATAACCATAATTTGTAATAGCTTAGTACTGTATGTACCATAATAAGGTATGTTTATACATGGCAGTTTATGCTGCCTAATATGCAACTAAATTTTACGCAGTATATGTAGTAAGGGATCCTTGCTCCCTCTCTCTTTCAGCTAAGGGGTGAAAAACCTCAAAGACCCCTGCACTAAACACTAAATGTGGGACTAGCTTTATTCTGTGTCTCCTCCACACCTGTTAGAAAAGTTGCAACCCTAAGACGCTCTAATAGTAAACAACAAAGGGAGACTCACATGAAAATGCATTTTTATTCATATTGTCTTTTTTTTAAGTTCTTTTGTGTATCAAGTATCATGTCATGAAAATATTCCACCATCCCAGTCCCGCTGTCCCTCCTGCCCTGCGTCCATAATCTGCTCTTTTGTGTGGAATTCACAGAACGAGGTGCCACTGTCAGCTTGGCTTAAGCCTATTACTTCCCGGTGAAGGGTGCAAAATGAGAAGCACAGGCTCTCCCTCCCTCCTTCAGTTGTTCAGGCACTTTTTCTCCCCCCCCTGTGTGTGCACATTCCAGATGTCCTGCATTGACCAGCAGCAGGTTTAAATTGGACCTGGTCTTCAGAGGAGGAGAAGTCCAGCTCAGGTCTGTACTCAGCTGTTTTGTACCCATCAGCAAATCCACATCGTGTGTATACATTTGGCTTCAAGCTACATAAATACACTTATAAAGTCTTCATCAATATGCAGTCACTTCACAGACATTCACTTATTGTACACCGGCTTGCATGGACTCATGCACCATCATGCACACACCGCTTGCTACTGACTCTAGCCACCAGGCTGTTAATGTCCTCAATGTTGACACACTTGATGCTGTAATCCAATTTTTTTCACAGTTACGACCCACAAAAACAACTCTGCGTTGGTGCTTTGTTGCTCCAGGTTGTTATTCTGTGCTAGTTTGGGATGAAAACCAGTTGAGTCAGGTGGATAAATTGTCAGACGACTACAAGAGAGTATTTTTAAATCTGGGATCTCATATGCTCAGAGACAGTAATCCCCAGTAGCATTCACAGACTGACAGCAGCTACATATCTGTTAACAGGAAGAGACAGTTTGTCAGCTGAAATTCTGAATTTACGACAGACATTGTTTTTATTTTATCTGGGATTTATGCCAATAACCCATCGTGCAAGTCTTTAAAATGTATCTTTACAAGCTACAAAACATTCTTCAATCAACTCAGTACGTGCCGTATCCATCTGCGTCACACCACAGTGCAGACTAACAAGTAGTGTCTACGATTATCTATAAAATATTTACAGTACAGGCTCTTTTCTTTTTGGTCATGGGGTAAATGAAACAGCACAGAAGCACAGGCACATAATACAGTATATTGTCCAATTTAAATGGTGCCGACAGAACATTCAGTACCGCCTTGCTGAGACTAAACAAACATGTAAGTGCAAGGAGAAATCTTAATATAAAATACCGCACGTTGATAGCTTTGCTTAAATATCAGATAAACATTTAAGTTTCTTTTTACATACATATGACACTGTGTTTCCTCTGCATTGTTTCCTTCTATGTACACGAGCAGATACAGAATTACATGGAACAATAAGATGTTTTTGGTTAGATTTTTAAAAGTAAATTAAGATAGGGAGGCGTTTTTGCGTCGTCTTTATGTGTTTTCAGGTCCAAGGTTCATTTTTTTGCTGAACACAACCTTGTTTTTTGCCTTCCCTCGTGTGGCTCTACAAGCTAAAGTAATGATAGTACTGTGTATCATCATAGACTATGGCGTACTGTGCCTTTCCTCGTCTTCCCAGGCAGATGAGTGATTACCACCACAGATTCTGAGTAGGTTGGAGAGTCTGTGAGCTGTTTAAATAACGCTGTATTTACAGATAATGTCAGTCTGGCATCACTCCAGGTGATGCTTACATTTATACAGGTGGCTTGCATTAGCCCTACACCTCCTATTTCTTAAATTAAAACATGCCATTAACCTTTCTGTAACTTCCCAACTTTCTCTCAAACAACCAGCAGCCAAATCCTGTTTGGAGCCCTCGTAATGTTCACATCATCATCATCATCATATAATAAACCGTTTCCAGTCTTCCCCGCCTTCCTTCACTGTATCCAGATGGCGTTGTTACGATCTGGTCGGCGGGGGTCTGCGGCCGGGGTGTTGCCAGTCGCGGTGAGGTCACTGAACGTGGAGAAAAACTGTTCCATCTCTTTCTGCAGCATCTGGTTCCGCCGCTCTGCGTCATCCTTGGCGCGCTCGGCGTTGCGCAGCTTGATCTCCGCCATGGTGTACTTCTTTCTCTCCTGGTCTAGCTCTTCGTGGAGACTCACCATCTCTGTCTCCAGCTCCAAGTTACGCTGCTCCAAGCTGCAGGAGGAGGTTAATGGAAGGCAGAACATTCACTTAACAGCGAGAAGCAGCTGCAGTTGATTTTCATTTCCAATAAGCTTGATAAATTACATACTTCTACTGAAATCTGTCTCACTGCTTTTGCTTAAACTGCATACAGGACATTTTGTATATTAAATATCATCCAGTCTGGATTTGTTATTAGGCCTAACTACTGTTGGTGGATGATATACTGTCCCAGAAATAATTGCGATAAACTATTCTACTGTCATTTTAAGACCATTTTATGCCACTGATATGATGACAATATAATAGCGTAATACAAGTACATCCTTTAAAAGAGCAATGAACTTTTAATTCATCTATTATCTGGAAACGCTTATCCTGTTCTTTGTCATGGGGCAGCTGGAGCTGATCCCAGCTGGCACTGGGCGAGAGACACCCTGGACAGGTTGCCAGACTATTTAACATTTGACACAGGCTGACAAAGGGTCTCTCCTGAACAAGCAATATACGGATGAACCCTGCTGTTAATTCTGACATTATGTTGGCTAAAATGTTGGTGACATTCTCCCTCAAAAACAAAACATGCACGTAAACATAAAGGCAATATCATATGATAAATTGATCATTTGTGAAGACCTTGAAACGTCAATAATGTAATTATTGTGACAGACGTATTCTTTTATACGATATTTCCTTCCATTAGCATTGACAGTGACCTGTGTTCCCAAACTACTGGGATGGCAGCAGTTAAAAATTGGATGAGCAATAACTTCTTGAAACTAAATGAAACTGAGATACTCGTCGTTGTCCCCCAAGCCACAAGAGATCTACTCTCTTGCAAGCTTGTGCATCTGGTTCCCAAGACTAAAACAGAAGTTAAGTGCCCAGGCATTGTTCTAGATCTAGATACACATACAGAAGGTGAACAATAACAGCTTTTTATCACTTATGAAACATCGCCAAGGTACGCTATTTGTATCCTATAAAGATGCTGAGAGATGTATTCATACTTTTATTTCAAATAGATTAGATGATTGCAATGCTCTCTACTGAAGTCAACTGAAAATTTTCTACTTATTCAGAATTTTGCTGCTGAATTTTTTTTATTTTTTTTTATCAAAACAAGGAAGAGAAATTTTTAGCTACACTCAACTGGCTCCCAGTATGTTTAAGAATAGATTTTAGATAGGTTCTTTCACTCATTTTTTGAAGCTGTTAATGTTCTGGGACCAGCCTACATGCAGACTGTGTGCCATTCTTTAACCCTTTATGGGTGCAGTTATTGTTAACTATGCTCAGAATTATGGAATATGCTACCAAACACTATAGCAGATGCAGGCTTGATGAACATTTTTAAACACCAGCTGGATTTACTGTCTTTTTATTGTCAAATTTTGTTGTCCTTTTTGTTTTGTTTTTAATTAATGTGTTATATTTTTATTCTAAAGCATTTTCATGTACATATTTGCATGGAAAGTGCTCTATAAATAAAGTTCTTAATTATTTCTTAATAAAACTGTCTGTGACATCCTTCTGTTTTTGTGCCGGTTCATTGTCCACCAATGTTCCCCCTGACACTTTAAAATATGTCAAACTTTGCAAAAAAAAAAAGTAAGAAAAAATTTTAATTTATCGTGAGCGACTTCCTTCGAATGTCGATCAAAAAACACTCACTTTCTCTCAGATGGGACCTTACCTCTTTATCCTGGCCTCGTACTCGCTCTTCTGCTTGTTCATCTCCTGTTTCAGACTGGCCACTAAACTGTGCAGGGCGCTGTGAGTGCCGGGTCCATTACCAACAGTGTAACCTTCGCTATTATCACTACTGCTGGTGCCCCGGCTGCTCCTCCCTGCTCCATCCCCACTTCCTTCTCTGTTGCTGTTTCTGCCCTCCCCCTCTCCTCCTCCACCAGACTGGGGGGCCTCATTGTCCTGTGCTGTTCCATCCAGGTCTTCATAGTGACCTCCGTAGAAGTCCTGCTCAGGGCAAGTAGTGGTGGAGGAGCGACAGGAAGTGGAGTTGTCAGGAAGAGAGATTTCACAGGAGGAGGTGGACCAGGTTGCGCTGTCTACGCTCTGCTTGTCCTCACAGCTGCTGTTCAGACATGTGTTGGTGATGTGGTTCTGCTGCAGGTTCTGATGGTTTAAGTGGACATTGTCATACGTAGACAGACGGTTCTGATTGGATGTTTGATCCCCGTTGGAGCAGTCACGTGTTTTGTTGCTTTCTCGTAAAGTGACGCAGCCGTTTGGTACCCAAAGACCATTGCGGCCGTTCAGACTCCCCGTGACTACATCAGTGCCAGAAATGCCCATGCGTACAACTCCGGTCCCGTTCCCTCCAGAGCTGCTTCCACTTGTCACGCCACTGGTGCCCATTTTTGTGCCGGAGCCTTTAAGTGCCCCATTGCGCCGAACTGGTAAACTCCCACCACCAGTCAAAGTCGGGCTCTTTTCTTGACTGGGGTCCAAAGACGGTGAGGAGCTGAAGGAACCATTTGTTACAATCCCACTGCCTTTACTGAAAGCTGGGTTCTTTTTAACAGTCAGCGGCGGACTGCGGGTGATGTCAAAACGTCCTATGACACCATTGCGAGGGCTTGCTGCTCGTGGGGAGCCACTGTTGTCTAAATGCTGGCGGTGTGAGGGAGATTCAGGTGCTTCCCAAACACACTGCCGCACCACCTGCGTGTTGTTGTTCTCAGCGTTCTGAGACACCGTAGTGACAGCGGAGGTAGTTGTAGTGGCTTGTCGCCGTTGTAGCTCGATGTTGTTGTTGTTGACAAGCTCCAGAGCCGTGGGGCTGTCCTCACCCAGAGGGAACAGCACATCGTGGCGGCCAATCAAAACAGCCATGAGCTGCTGGACCAGAACAGTACCTGAGAACATGACACCATAAATCATTATGTTTCCTTTTAAATGTCAACATTTTGTAGGTTAGGTTTTGAAGAGGGAAATTGCATAGGTTAGGTGTAGGCAATTAAAGTTACGTAGAGTGCATTTTGAAAAAGAACCATTGTTGGGCCTCATAAAGTTACCTAAGTTAGGTTTTGGAAAGAGCGTTACTTTGGTTAGGTGTAGGCATTGTTAAGTTACATAGGTTACATTTTGGAAACATTGTTGGGTGTTATAAAGTTATGTGGGTTAGGGTTAGGCTTAGGCAAGTAAAGTCATGTAGGTTGGGTGTAGGCATCATAAAGTCAAATAGGTTATGTTCTGGAAAAGAAACATTGTTGGGCGTCATAATGTTACATAGGTTTTGGAAAAGAAAGTTACATAGGTAAGGTTTTGTCATCATTTAGTTACATAGGTTAGGTTTAGGCATCGTAAAGTTACATAGGTTAGGTTAAGGCATCATTAAGTTACGTAGGCTCGGTTTAGGCATCGTAAAGTTAAGTAGATTATGTTTTAGAAAAGAAACGTTGGGCATCTTAAAGTTGTGTGGGTTAGGCTTAGGCAAGTAAAGTTACATTGGTTAGGTTTAGACATCGTAAAGTTACATAGGTTAAGTTTAGGCAAATAAAGTTATGTAGGTTAAGTTTACTAATCGTAAAGTTACGTAGGTTACATTTTGGAAAAGAAACATTGTTGGGCGTCGTAAAGTTATATAGGTTAAGCTTGGACATGTTAAGTTATGTAGGTTAGGTTCAGGCAAGTAAAGTTACGTAGGTTAAGTTTTGGAAAAGACACATTGTGGGGTGTCGTAAAGTTTTGTGGGTTAGGTTTAGACATTGTTAAGTTAAGTAAGACAGGTTTTGGAAAAGAAAGTTATGTGGATTTGGTTTTGGTGTTGGAAAGTTACATAGGATAGGTTTAGGCATCATAAAGTTACATAGGTTAGGTTTCGGAAAAGAAACATGGTGACGTCATACCATATAATGACTAAATCTTCACTTGGCTTTCCCCACATGGTAGCTAACCTCAATTTCCTGAGAGAAAGTCCTGTGTTTGTTTGACCCAACCACCATCCCAACCCGCCTCCTTACGCAGACTTTCCCTCTCTTCTCCTGTCAGCACAATGGTCATGTGATTGCAACTTTCCCAATTACATGAACTATACATGAATAACTGGCTCATGATTACATGGGTTATATATAATTTGTGGTGCACCACTTTTTATAGGTATATGTACAACCAGTGCCTAAGAACAGCCTGACAGTGTTCATTCCACTAAGCTTAACATTAAAACAAAATGTCAGAGAGCAAGACACAAGCACACATCTATTAAAAATACTGACCTTCCATGATAGCGACTGGATCCTCAACCTTTGGCCTCAAGATGTTTGGCCCAAAGACTGTGGCCAAGTTTTGCACACTCATTTTATTCACTCCAGAATATGACTGGACTTCATCTAGAAATCTGGCAAACAAGAAAATATTAACTTTTAATGATTCAATAATGATAATTAATAATATAATCTACTTTAATAATAGATTACTACCTGCAGATGTACTTGAGAAGGTTGTAGTTCACTGGAGGTAGATTTTCCACAAGCTTTTTCAACTCCTTCATACCCTGCAGATGATGGACACTTTTTAATCAAGTTCAATCAAGAACAGTCACACTCACAGAGCAAACAGAAAATGAAACGAATCAGTGAAAAAAAATAAATTGCACACTTAGATATGATCAAGGATCTTTCAGTAACACTGATAAGAGCAACAACATTTTGCTCAACAACTCATCTGCCGAATTAAAAGTTTTTTTATGGAAGCAATGGTTAATTCATCATCTGCCATCTTAAAACAATGAGTACTAAATGATTCCCATCACTTTTTGAGATAAGTGTTGAAAGATATGTTCTCTACAATCAGATGAAATGTATTTGTGTATTGAGAGGATTTTATCCACTACAAGAATCCATCTGTTTTTTACCAAACGCAAAAAACTAATCAAATAAAAAGAGCATTAAACAATATGCTGATTTCTATCAGTTCTGTATTTATGTGTCATCAGCCACCTGCAAATCTGAAGTGATCTTACAGAATTACTAACAACCAAAAATCTGCTGCAATCCATGAGCAAACTAGTATCTTTTTTTTTTCAGAAATATTTTTAAATTCTGCTCAGTGTGTTCCTTCTTTATTTCAAAATCCTCAGAATTTTGAAAGGTAGGGCAGCTCTAATCTACGCTTGAGGTGTTAAAAACTTAAATATAAGAACACACCCGATCACATGGATACACAGAGGAACAGCCTTGAGCTCTTAAGTGAAAATGAGAGAAAGATGTTATGGGCAGTGTGAGGAAACAAAAGACTCCTCCCTGCTGTGAAGCATTACTTTGGTGTGAAAGAAAACCTATATAGAAGTTAGACAAAGTCATTGTGTGAGAAACACAAGAGCAGAGCAGGGTGAATGGACAGCAGATGACCGGCTTTGAAAGGTAACAGGTATTTTTCAACCTGGACACTTTTTTCCTTTGTTTTTGTGTCTAAGTGACTAATAGAGACCACCATTTTTGAGATTGTTCCGGTATTGAGCGAGACTGCTGGCAGTGGAAGTGGCATAACAAGCTGCAATGTCACCACTCAGGACATTTGTGCACCGTCAATTTACGCCCACTAAAAGGGCTCGTTTTGCCACTGACTTGATCAGATTGTTATTCGAAGTGTCTGACAACATTATAGAAAGGATCCCTGAAGAGAGACCTTTTCTTTAAAGAGTAGGATCCTTTTTGTTTAACCAGAAACAGCCCAGAAATCACTATTGCCATACTCACCAGACTCCATTTAAATAAGCAGTGATTTTAGCATGTATAGAACCAGCATATTTTCAAATCTAACTATGTGAATTAAGGGTTTATTTCAACCAAACCACAGTCAGTGACAGCTGATCAGTGGAAAGACAATCCAAGATGCCTTTTGTGAATTCTGTTTTCTTTCTATTGTCTTTGAATTTAGTTTTCCAAGGATAAAATTACTGTTCATTTAAATGCAGTCTGGTGGGTTTGGTGAAAGCAATTTCAGGGCCGTTTCTGATTAAACAAAAAGGATCTTACTCTTTACAAAAAGGTCTGTCTTTGTAGAATCTGTTCCATAATGTTGTCAAACACTTAAAAAACAATCTCAGCCTGTCAGTGGCAAGAACAAGCACTTTTAGTGGATGTAAATTGACGTTGCACAAATGCCCTGAGTGGTAATAATGCAGCCTGTGTTGCTGTTGCAGTCTTCCTCAATGCTGGACCAATTTCCAAAATTGTTGTTTCCATCAGTCACCTTGACAGAAAAACATATCAAAATAAGGTCCAGGTTGAAAAATACCAAAGTTACCCTTTAATGGCACAGAACAGGACTTTCGGATGATTTATGTGAGAGCTTTTCAGTGCTCAGCCTTTGATATATTACTTGAACAACTTTATGTAGAGGAATGAAATATGTAGGTATGGATAAAGAGGAACTTGTCAAGTACTCTTTCTTACCATTTCATCATCTTTGCTGAGGAGCTTGGCACAGGCCAGAAAGTCATCATACTTGTGGAAGGGGACGACTGGCTCCGGCAGCTCTCTGAGATACAGCTTCAGAAGAGAGGCTACTGTGTGCACATCTGTGTTACTGCAGGAAAGAAAGGGCAGACAGAGATAGAGATGGGGGAGGGTTGTTATAATTTACTATGGGTACATGACATGGAGGCAAACACAAATCATCACCATGAAGTCCTGAAGCAAGACTGTTGGGGATGGGTGGAATCAAAGGGGAAAATATTGTTATTACCTTAGGTGACAGAAAACATAGAGCAGTGCAATTTGTGAAACAACACAAATTAAGGGTATAATTCAAAGGAATAGTTTGACATTTTGGGAAATAAACCTTTTTTGTGGTTTGGCATTTCAAAGAAGAAAAAGACTGATACCATTCTGATCTGTTTGTTAACTATATGACTACAGCCAACAGACATTTCACATAGCTTCACAAAAAGAATCTGGAAACAGTGAGCATGGCTCTGTCCACCACTAACAAAATCAACCAACCAGAACCTCTATAGCTCACTCATTAATAAGCCAGATTTTCTTTGTTTAATTCATTCAAAAAACAGAGCATTTTTTTGTTTTACAGTGAGTTATGTGCTGGACTATTTCTTGGCTGGCAGCCTAATCAAATGCCCCCAAATCTCAGGTTTCAGATACAATGTTAGAGCTCACATAAAAACTTTGTGGACGAATCGTCAAACTTTACAACACTAAAAACAGCAAACAGGACACAGGCAACAGAAAGACAGACAGGTAACAACGAAAGCAACAGAGGGAACAACAGCACTGGGCAGCCTAAATGATGTGCCTGAAGCCAAGAGGATTTCAACTGAAGGCTCAGAGACACTAACGAGCCAACTAGGGGCAGCTGGTGAGGCAGGCAGGAGGTTACAAGGGCTAATGAGGGGAAGCAGCAAGGTGAGGGACAGTTAGGGACAAAAACAGACATGGGCTGAGACAGAGGAAGGTATAGATGTAACCACTGCATGACATGAGCTGTGTTAAAGCAGATGTACATGAGCAGAGATGTGTCTCCGTTTACATTGACACCAATATTCCATATTCTGTTCGGATATTCTGAATCAGGCCTTTTTCCAAATGATGTATTTTCTGATGTGGAAAATCCCAATATTATTCCAATTTTTAGGAGCATTATTTGGACATGTATACAGGACAATTGAAATATGTGTCTCAATGTTGCCATGCCATTGTTCCGAAAGTCCAAAATTCCAAAGTCCCATTAGTCTGAAAAATGTCCCATTGGGCCCAAAGCCCATTTCTCAGACAGCCTTTTGTTCCAAAACAAACGGCCACTGCTCTGAAGTGCTGTTTGTCCAAAAACACACACTTCCTACAGTTAGTTTCAGCCACAGATCCAAGGTGTTTTTAATGACCCGTCCCTGCTTTTCCAGCTACTTCTGTGCCACAAAACTTGGGTGTTTTATGCCAAATCATGATCTTTTTCTAACCATAACCAAGTGTTTTTGTGCCTACACCCAACCACATGTTCACCACAGCATTGTTGACGAATGTAACATATCTGTAGTTTACAGAAACGTACAATGCAAACATTTTTTCTAGCGATTAGGTTGATTAACTGCAGAGAAACAGGACTTTGGAGGCATGAGCTTTTGTTTTTAGGATAAGGGGTGGTTGGAAAAATGGACTTTCAGTCCAATATGACATTTTTCAGACTGATGGGGCTTCAAAGGTTTGCGACACACAGCCTCTTGCCTGTTTGCATTCAGCTCTGTGCATTGTACACAAACAAACTAGCAACTTTGCAGGCTGGGGTAGAGATGCATGTCCAAAAGGAAAGCCTATATTTCTGATCCACAAGGGAAGCAACGGGTTTTTGAATATGCACAAATATTGCTACACCAACCTTTTCAAGAGGATGGTTAAAGGAGGGAAAGAAGGAGGCTGTGTTTGCTGTGTCCGCCACTAGTGGAAAACTTTGAAAAAATCTGAGTTGAGTGTATGCACATCTGCATGTAAACAAGAATATTAGTGGAATATTTACTTTCCTTGGGCAGATAAACAGTGTAGTAGGAATATTGTCTTCTTCACATTAAGGGCAAAACCAGAATATTGTGTGCATGTAAGCATAGTCAGTGTGCAGCTCACACGATGATGTGATTCTGTAGCCTGTGCTTCTAGGAAGTGGTAGGATGTTGATGCATGGGCTGGATCCTGACAGCCATATCCAGGCTTTATTTATGGTCATCAGATTGGATGATGGGAGTGGAGGATGCAGTGAAAGAGTACAGAGGGAGCAGAGAAAAAGAGATGTGGAGGTGGTATGTTCCATCATTCATGTATTCTCTGTCATCCTGAGTTCTAGATGAAGGTTGTCACATTATACACTCAGTACAGCCTCCTACACACCACATAATGACAGCAGACTGTAAGCCAAATTCAGCTGCAAGCTCATTTTTTAGACTGTGGTGAGTTTGTACTGTTCTGTAGGCAAATTATTGTACAAAATGTGAGTTTTGGATTTAGTTATTTTGCCTCCTGGGTATGTTTTTTCTTTTTTCCTGTGTGATGGGGTCTTAACAAGGGGGCAAGAGAGATGTCAATCCAGCCTGACAGGCGGTTTACACTTCACCGGCTATTTTCATAAACGGACATTTCACCATCTCCGTTTTCAAAAAGATCTTCGTTTACACTTACCCATGTATATATACACAAGAGCATGCCAAACCTGTAGGTGGCAGTGTAACGAGAGGCTCAAGCCTTCCATGTATCCATTGTCACCATAGCAACATAGGTCGCACTTTTGACACAGGCGCAACTTCCGGCGCATGTTGTGACGTCGGCTGCCTATAACTCCGTTTATCTCCGTTTATCTCAGTTTACATGCAAACGCGCAACCGGAGTTTTCCAAAATCTCCACTCTGGCTGGAGTTTTTAGAAAGACTCGTTTTCAGAGGAGAAATCTCCGTTTGCGTGTAAACGAAGGGCACAAACGAAGGAAGATTTCTCCTTTTATCAAAATCACCATGTACGTGTGAACGGCCTCTGATCCTCACACACCCACATATCCCAGAGAACAAGTCTAATCAAGCAAGTGGAAACACCTGTGAGGGTGGACAGAGGCCGTGCAGCGTCTTTAATAATGTGTCAGTGCATAAATTTGCTAAATTTTGTTGTAAATTCTAGTAAAAAGAAATGTGATCAATTTAGAAAAGCTAAATTTAAGATTGATATTTACTGTGGATGATCTGTTGTTATTTTGAAGAAGAAGAACATATTCTGATCTTTCCAACCTGTGACAACAAGCCTTATAACCTTATTGACTGATCTGTTTCATGTGTCTCAGTGAGTCAGCAAACTCAATAGCAGCATCCAAGAACTAACTAAACATAATTCACTCGTACTTAATCTGATAATTACAACTGTGCTTTTCCTGCTATGACACATCAAAGTGTCTGCTGTGAAAGACATTAGATCACTGTTCTGTATTGCTGTGTTTTACAATGCCGCAATGCAATGAAGAGGTAAAATGAAGATCAGGAGGAGCACAATAAATTCCAGGAAGAATTTTCAAAAAAGAAATCCTCAAATTCTGTAATGTATCAGCTGTTACCCCTTGGTGTGAAAACAGAAAATGTATGCAAATCCTACATTAAATTAAACACTGTGCGCAGTATATGATGTAGAAAATATTTCTTTTAAGAGCTGTTCAGACAGGAAACATTGCTTCTGAATTTTCAGAGTTGTCTTTGACGTCCTTAGTTTATTACAAGGGATCCTACCTAATGTTTTTGTAGTGTAATACAGGTTTACAGTGCAATACCGACATTGAAAAACTCTTGCATTCAAGTCTCTCTAACTAGACACAACAAAACCTGATGCGTCTGGAGGGATTCAGGCCAACAGGAGCACCCATGAGATTCCAGAGGTACAGAACTTGACCAGTCAACACTCTGAACATATTAACTTCACATTAAAATGCACTGTGGAAATCCAAGCAGCCGGTACGCTTACTGCTTTCTTACCAATCAAAAGAGGGCTTTTCTCCACAGTCGAAGGCATCCTGCAGCTCTTTGACCAGGTTAGCCTGTCCCGGCAGCCTGAATAGGCCCTCCTCCCGAAGGCCCCACTGCCGGATGAAATCCACACACTGCTCGACCAGCATAGGGGCCAGCTTGTTCCCAAACCGGCGTTCATAGCGCACAGTTTCCTCCAACTTCTGACCAAATATCCCTGAAACACAAGATAAAATGGAAAATGTTGAGAAACTTGAGAAATTAGCTTTGATTTTTATTTTATTTTCACAGGAGAATAAGCTGTTAGCCACAGGCTGCAGTGAGTTCAACATATCAAGGAAGCTGAGAGCCATATCTCCAGGGTTTAATAATATTTTTAAAGACCCCCTTCAATGAAAATCCAATTTTTAACCTTGTTAACACATCCATATGTTGTTTTTTTTATATGCTAAAAGACACATGACGAGAAAAATAGGCAGTCAACATCATGGCTGAGCATTATAGCCTTGAAAATGCAGTGTATGACATTAATACGGGTTCTGGCTTCCAGGGTTTGTGATGTCACAATCTTAAGGAACTAATCCAGTCAACTTGTGAAATGAATCTCTGTGTCAGTATCAGTTTCACATTAACAAGGTTTATCTAAAATTAGCGACACATTATTTGATGTTTGATGATGCAGTCAAGTCGAAGGCTCATGTTATTTATTACCATTTACAAGGAGAGGTTTGTGTGTTTGATGGGCACAGCTGAGGACTTGGTGATATGGCCTATAAATAATATCTCAATAATTTGTGGTTATATCGCGATACACAATATATATCTCCATATTAGGAAATCTCCTCTAAACTACCATAGACTACTAAAATACTAAACTAATAAATAATCTACAATTATAATAAAGTTAAATAAAGTAGCTACTGTTATATAATAAAGTTAATGTACTGTCATAATAAAGCTAAATAAAATAGATACAATGAAGTAAATACTGCTATAATTATCATATGATAAAAATAAACAAATTAAAAAAAAGTTATAATATAATAATTAAAAGTGAAACCACTGATGTTTTTGCGGTGAACTTGGAGCTTCTGGTCAACAGTCAGATGTCAGCAGATTGCAGATTGTTATACCTGAAGATTTAATCACTGTGAGCTGGAATCAAACTAACAGCTCTTCAGTTCATATACTGATAATATCTGAAGGTCGCGCACTGGTGCTCCATGGTTGCAAAATGCTGCTAAATAGTTGCAGTCTCGAGCCTTGCAGATACAAAAACACATGCTTCACCTGCTCATTCTATAGTATGAAAGGGATTTTTTCATGAAAAAAAACTGAAGATGTAAATTTGATAAAAAGAGATGTTTTTTTTTTTAGGGTCTTAATCAGAGCCCAGGGAGGAAGTTTAACACAAATATATACAATTCGTTTCAGTCTTTACAGCAACATTATTTTGGACATGATTCCAAAATATCTTTTGAAATATCAATACTGGTTAAATATCCCACACTATTTCTGTGCAAAAGGAAAAGTAACTTTTTTCAAAGAATCAAAAAAAAAACCCATCTAGATTAATATCTGCAGCTTAAGTCACATCAAAGAGAGCCGTTAAATCGATTGGAAAAAAAAGTTCTGATAAGGCCAGCTAAACAGTTCAGGCAAAAAATATGTACACCCACAACGCTTTAGTCTGATGATCAAATCTCTAACTTCCTGCTGAGCACCTCTCGCCTTTTGTCTGAGGCAGTCGCCATAAAAAAAAGACTGATTTCCATTTGCAGCCGTCTCATGTGGATGCAACACAAGAGGGGATTAAGGCAGCCTTCCTGAGAGATTTGGATCTGCATACTTTTCCGGTCTCCAGAGACAGACAGAGGCTACTCACACACATGCATACACGTGGTACGACAAAGTACCGTACGGTGACTGCATTAAACCTAGCTTATCCAGGATCCTCGTGCTTTTGGCAGCATTTGACACAGCAAGAAGTGGCTTAAAACCAACTGGCGTTAATGTGCAGTAGTAGTCTAAGTCAATGTTTTCGTATAGGTGTACTGGTGCATCAAACTAATCCAGAATGAAGCTTTCCTAGGAAGCTGATGCAAATGCTTAAATACATTTTTCATTGGAGGGAAACTGCTTTTTAGTTAATATGTTATCATACTCACCTCTCTTTAAACTGACACAATTTGTGAGCTTCTGGAAGAAATGCCTATTAATAAATTTGTGGTAAGGTAACACACCAGAGGTGCAGAATTTAAAGTGTCTGCATTCAAGCATGTTCCAAAAACTAGCCTCAGTTTTTGCAGAACGCAAAACAAAAACAAACATAAAGCAGAAATTAAAGAGATGCATCAGTTTGATAGCAGGTCAGTCAAACTGTCTTCATTTCCATCTCTCAGAAAATTGTTTGTTTTATCATCTTTCAGTGGTAACAAGGCTGCTCAGAAGTTGAACAGCGGAGTCTTGTGTTGTCTTCTTTCTCCTCTGGGTCAGTCGCTTCAGGGACTTCAGTCTTTACAGTAACCCAAATAAGACAGAACAAGTAAATGGTCACAAAATCCCAAGAATTATTTGAAGCTGTGTATCCATTTCCCAAATCTTGGATCAGAGTGAAATACAAATGAAGCTCCACCAGAGTAAAGAATGATGAAAATCCTCGTGTATCTAAACGAGCATCAGAGAACAAATGAGGAAAAAGTGACTGGATGAAAACGAGGTCATCCCTCCAGACGTTCTGGTCATGAGTCTAGGAATGTTTTCCCCAGGTCACATGTAACTCTGCGTGTGCACCAGCTTATGAAGACTGGGTGCATGTGTTTATATGCATGTTTGCTGGCTCGAACCACGACCACAAAGACTTTGGCGCATGAGAGGGACTCCTCCACTGTGCAAACACTCAGCAGGTTCCTTCAACACTCTCAGGTTCTGTGAGCTGCCCTGGCTGACTGCTGCACACACACTCATGTCTACACACACACACACACACGCACGAACACACAGGAGGAAAGAGGTCCAGACACAACATGCTGCATTCCAAATCTAATACATGTACTTTTTCTTTTTAATATCAGTACACTCTGCAGCTGCCCTTACAAAGTATGTAGTGTTGCATGGAGTACGTATACAATTGGGACATACTGCTTCATTGCACCTTGTACTTTGACCCCCTCACCTATAGATTCACCTCAGTCCAAAATGTGAAGTAAAAAGAATTTGGAACTCAGCAGATCTTACTGTTATCACTCAAAGTTACCTTGGAGATACGACAAAACGCTATTTGTCAAGCTCACCAGAGAGGAAGGTCGACCCAAAGAGCTCTGCTGTTATTTTACAGTGTATGTAGCTTTAACTTTTAAGTTGTAACTCTATACATAATGGACAGTTTGTGAGTGATTGATGGTTATGAACAGTGGTGTTTCTGTCAGTTGTCAATGAGCTGTCATCTCTCTGCGCAGAGGATTGTGGGTCAGAGGAGACAGAAAAGCATGCCAGGTTGCACACGGCAAAATAGGACCCGATGCTGTGGGACATCCTGTTATTTTGGGCATTCTGCATTTGACATACAATGTATTGGGACATACTAATTTTTTTCCTAGCATACTAAACAGGGTAGCAGTATTGGAACGTACCAACAGTCTTCCTGTCTCCTCTCCGTTGTCTTTGATTCTTCCTTTTTGGTGTGGTGGATGAATGTCTCTCAAATATATGATACTGATATTGACACCTCCTTACTCTACTAAATGTTACATATTCATGAAGATGTACAATGAAACAGAACAGCTAGAATCTGGCTAGGGTTGCAACAGTATGAGATACTCATGATACAATAACCATCTCAGAAAATAATATGATGGTTTCACGATGTGGTATTACACAATTACTATTACCATTATCAGTTACAATGCCCCTTAAAGGAATGAAAACTGAAGGATTTTGGTTCAACAGACTCTGTATATTAATTTAACATTAAAACCATTTTTGTGATGGAAGTACATGTAAAAAGTCTGACGGGCAATCAGGGAGGACAAGAGCTGTGCAGGTGCAGGTGAGATTCTCCATCCATCCTCAATACTGTATAGGCAAATGTACATGGTATGATAACCCTCCATTTTCACACCACCGTAGAGCAGTGCAACCCTAAATCTGGCAATACGATGCGTATCACGATACAGGGATTACGATTTAATATATTTTGATATTGCAATACTGTAAGCAATGAGATTTATTGCAATGATTTTGATTTAAAACTGTCATAGTATAAAGAATACACCACCATAGCCACAAAATCTGAGTTTAAAAAATGTTAACTTGTAGTCACAACAGTGGGATCTGCATTTGAGTTTATCTCTCTATCCTTGTTTCACACAAGTGATATGTTGTTATGCTGGAGTGGAGTCAAATGGCTGAAGATAGATTACAACACTGCTATCCAGCAGTTAGGGGGTTATAACACAACACAAAATGAGCCATGAATCTTTGCATGTCAACTATTAATTTATAATTGATGGTGTTTTTGAGAATTGATACAGTATCACGAAACATAATATCGCGATTCTCAAGCAACATTCTCCTGCACACCTAGAACACAGATTATACACCAAGCCAAACAAATCTGTGCAAGTTATATACAGCATGATAATTCTGATCCAAAGCCAGAAAGCAGGGAAACATTATATTATACTTGAAAGTACCTCTAACCGTGTTACACTAAACTAAAATTAGGTTGAAAATGGCTCTAAAATGTTGTTAAAGCCGGACTGAAACAGACATGGCACATGTCATAAATATAAGGGCGATTGGACGCGGTTGTTTGTGGTGACAGTTTTAGATTTAACCAAAATAACAGTCTGGAAAATCTCCCGTATAAGCTATGGAGAACAAATTAGCATGTGTGTTAGCATGACGAACAGTTTAAAATAGACTGTTTAATTTTCTACATTGCATTAACTCTACAGCAACAACAGTTCAAGTTAAAATGCAAACTCTTTACAAATAAACAGTTTATAATTACCATGAAATAAATCTCCAAAGATCCAGATGGAGAGGCCACAGCTGCACATTTCTCAATGGTCTGACTTCAAACTCTCTCTCGTCCAACTGTTCGTTAAAACTGACCAGTAATTAAATCAGCATCATAGCAAGTGTTCAGCACAACATGACAGCAAACCTACTGGGGCTCCGAGCTCTTCTGTGGGTCACACACAGGCTTCGTTTTGGGAGCTCCCCTCTCTGTCACACTCTGACCAGAAAGTTTCAATCACACTTCAGGGGCACTCACCAGCCAGTCAGGGCTCAGTTAATCTCTGCTGCTACTGCAAAATGTGAAAGCCTGGAATATGTGTGTGTGTGTGTGTGTGTGTGTGTGTGTGTGTGTGTGTGTTCTGTGTGTATGTGTGTGAAAGCCCGGCTCCAGTCCAACTTGGAGCCACCTTTCTTGTGGCATCTTTGACAAATGGCTCGTCCTTTTGAAAAGCAGTCAACTGCAATAGACATCAAACTCCCTACACTGAAAACAGAGGGGCCAGCTCAGCCTCATCTATTCACTGTGACACAGAGAGCTGCCTGAACTGCCCGTCCGGTCTCAAATGCCGCACTTGTGCCCCGCTCATTCACAATGTAGGCCAATGTCTGCCAGTAAAGTCAATAACAAGCGGTAGCGGCACAGCAGGATACTCGGTAATCATCACACTGATCCCAGGAACAACTTCATGAGAACAATTACAACATCATGCACTTCAGCTATGAACCACAGCGGATTTGACGATTACTACATCGCCACTGACTGTCGGTTTATTTGACACATGCAATTGCATTTTTAATATACTCATTTCCTTTTTTATTAGAGGTGAAGAAAACAAACACGCAGGATGATGACACAAAAATGAGAGAAAAGATTCAAGCAGCACAAATCTAGTGCTTCAAATATTCCTAGGACTTGAGTCATTTATACATCTTATCAAGTATTGTAGTGATACAACCAACTTGTGGCAGGACACCCACCATAAGGAGTATGGAAAAAAGAGTGGAGGCAACCTGTTGCTTCACCTGCAAACAGACTGTGGATACATGCCTGTTTTAGATCTAACTTTGAAGATACAGTACTATACAAGATATGATAAAAACATATTGTTGGAAAATGCAGTCAACTGTTCCTCGTTTAAAAAATCTGTAAAATATAATCACAATATTACAGGTACCTGGAAATTACTACTAAGTCCATCTCTATCATGCACACACGAATGGATTAGGTTACACTATTATCATTGTGGACAAAGCAACTAAAGTTTGTACTTTCAGTGCTTAGTTAAACACCGTCTCTGCAATATAAAGGATGCATTTTGTCACTGGGATCAGAGCACACAGTCAGCTGTTTGATGGCCTTGCTCAAAAGCACTCAGTAGAGATAGTGATGATTGAATATACAGTTATCCATCCTCCAGAAATATTACTGGAAACTTTAAAAGTCATCAAAATGAACACCAAACAGGTTGTCATTGACATCAACAAGTTATACGGCAATAAAATACAATGATTATTTGCTCACTGACCTCCACCAAAAGGAGCCCAGATGACCCTGCGGATCGTCTTCACCCAATCCTCCATGTCATTCTGGGTGCTGGCCATAAGAAGGTAGGTCTCATGGTTGGCTGTCATCCGCTCTCTGTCTCCCCCTGTTCAAATAAAAGAAACAAATACACACATGATTAAAATATCCTGTAGATAGCAGCCATAGTCTAAATGCTAGAAACAAGATGTCTCCTCCTCTCCTTCACTGAGAAGTCCATTCTCAGTGTCCGTGCACCAAAGCTTGTACAAAATAAGGGACATAGTCATCATGATGCCACCAATTAGTTTGTAGACTCTTGTTTTGGACATTTTTTGCCATCACCATCTTGGATTTTTGGAGCCAGAAGTGACCATATTTGGTTGAGAGGATGGCGCTGTGGAGGAGCGAGGGGTGGATCTGACTCATAAGGCATTTTCGGAACCATAGGAACTTTATTAGTTCTGAGAACCTAGTTTCACGAGCCCCCCCTTCTTAATGTGTTCGGACAGCAAGAACTAGGAATAGCCGTGGTTCTTAGAACATTGTTTTGAGGGAATTTAAGCCCCTATTTCAGAGTAGATACTCTCTCAGCACAGGAAGGCCCATAATTGACAGAAGTGTATGGTGATTGGTTGAACACAGCCTATGCAGCACCAGCAACGACCATTTTTAAAAACGTGTTGCAGGGTAAACAACAAACACAAAACACAAGCAACAGCTCATAATGAAAAACAAGGAAGAAGACATGGAAAAATGGATCGACAGTGAAGTCCAGGCTTTACTGAGCATATATGCGATGGTAGAAATACAATGCAATTTTGCAAAAGTAACGTTGCTTTACTAACCGCTGGCCAGGCTTACAGTATGTCAATTCAATATCCTATTGGTGGTGCAAATGCAAACAGTGAAAAAAGCCCTTGTTGTCTTCGGGGGAGCTCCCCAGTAGGCACTTCCTCTTAAGGAACCCCTGAGCTGTTTGGTCCGAAAACGCCTATAGACTGAGATGATGCCTCACAGATAGCCTGTTACCCCAAGAGGCTATGTCCTTAATTATGCATAACTTTTGGCCTTAATAAAAAGTAAATGAATGAGTTATATAAAATTTCATCAGCCGTACAGCTGTCATAAATGTTGAAATTAGCTACAGACACTAAACTGTTTTTGCACTAGGCTGTAAACATGTTTATTTCTTCTATAAAGTTGGGCATAATAACACAGGGTTCTGAGAGGATTGACTCGCTTTTGGAGCCAGCCTCAAGTGGCCATTTAAGGAACTGCAGTTTCTGGCTTCATTTTTCAGCCCTGGAGGCTGCCGCTTGATGTGCACTGGAGGTTTCAAGTTTCCACATTACACTTGCACAAGTTGCATACTGGACTCCAACTGGCTCCCAAACCAGTTGTTATGTTACAAAATCATCAAAGTCAAATTTAAGGAGAAGCTTTCCCCATTCGGCAGATAAATGTAAAAACATCCTTCTCATGCCAAACTCTGAACATACATCATCCTACACAGTGAAGCTCAAACATCCAAATGAAAAGACATTTTTGAATGGATGGTGACTTTAAAGCGAAACTCAAAGCAGAGTCTGACCTCCTGGTAACCAACAGAGCGCTGACTTCAAATGTCCTTGGAGACACAATTATTTTTGTACCTAACCAGTAAAAAACAAGGTGATTTTGGGCAAATACAGTGATAACTAAAAAAAATAAGGTTTATATCTCCTGGCAGGAGAAGTGTATGCTCCATTAGAGGCAGGCTCAGCTATCCTGATTCGACTTGTGGATAATGGCCACAAGCACTCTACTGTCATGTGATACTTAACAGATTGGAGCAGAGGGTCTGGACCTGTTTCACATGACGAATCTGGTTGCAGTGATTTCTATGACAACAGAACCATTTGTACCACTCTATTAAGATGAAACAAACAAACAAACAAACACAAGGCCGTTCACAGGGATGCACCTGCTCTATTATAGGAAGAGATGAGCTATTAAGAGACGAATGGTGTGTCACACAACCGTTGAATTATTCATGACTTTGACCACCAGGGATCCTGCTGCATTGATTGTGTCCCAGGATGAGATCTGCGGGTTGCATGCAAAAAATATTTATAGACAGTTACAACACAACATGACAGGCACACTAAGGGATCACGTATAACACCATGGAGTCCTAATGACTGGAAATTAGGCAAAAAACGATACTCTTTCTGATGCAAACTGAACGAGTGATTAAATCAATGCCAGTTTTTAAAGTGAAATTTAAATCGCCAGAGTGGAATTTAAAAATCAAACAAAACCACATGGTTAGATAACATTACATGTTTCTTTGTGAACTCATTATTATGAATGTCACAATCTTTGAATCAGAGACTCAGTTAACATTTTGAATGCTGTGCAATTAGCTAAATTAAACAAATGAAATGCATGGGGTTGCTAGCAATTACTTATGTTGTTTCTAAAATACTAAGCAAACAAAAAACACATCTCTAAGCACTTGTGCAGCAGCACTGAACATGCTTTTAGTTTTTTGTTTAAAAGGCATGAACTTCAACTTTGTCAAGCTCTTCATCCTGTGTGGTTTGAATGTACTCACTCTAAGTTGCTTTAGACAATAGCATCTGCCCACAATGTAATGTAATGGGTTCAGCCTTAAGCCTCATCATCGAGCTAAAGGTCAATAAGGCTACACCTTTGTGGGTTTGGGCTCAAGGACTTGTTGCTCCTTCAGCTGAATTTCAAACCAGATTGGAAGAACCAAAAAAAAAAAAACATAGAAAAAACTACTGTCACATTCTCAAAATTTTAGTCTAGACAGTCCATCCACATAATAAAAGGGGGCCCAGGAGAGATATATTTGGAGCCAAACTTTGACAGTGATATTGATGCTCCCAGCTGCTGTCAGTCTTAATGAGATCTCATTAGCAGGCAGCAGATGCCACTGTTTGCCCTGTGTGACACTGTGCATGTTTGCAGTGTTTATCCACTTTACAAACACAGACTATGTGACAATAATGAACCTACAGTTAATGCAGCCAGTATGTCTGTGAGAGTCAAAGGAGGTTTCAGATGAGGAGTCATTATAAAAGTGTAACTGGAGCTAATTTTCAGGGTCATGTTGGTGTGTTTCTGAAACATAAACAATGTTATTTCCTCAGCATCAATAAGTGCTGCACACAGCACTACAGTCTGTAGTGTCACCTCATGAAGCGATCCATAACAGCTTGCTTCTATCTCAGGCTTGATTGCATTTATCAGCAGGTAGTGATTTGTTGTGATTACGTATCTGAAGGGACTCATTCTTAGTTGTTCTCAAGGGAAACAGTTTGGTGAGCAGATTGGCTGAGGATGATGACAAATTTAAATACTGTACTGTACTTTTAGAATTACTAAAATTGCTCTGTTTTAACCTCAGTGTTACTTTTACTGCACATTCTCAGCATTTCCCCAGCTGCTCCAATAAATGGCTGCTGCTGAGCTGAAGTCATTATTCAATAAATCTTTTCGATGATTGACAGACAATTTCAAGCAAATATGCCAAATGTTCTCTGCACCCATCTTTACAAATGTGAAGATTTACTGCCTGTATCTGTTTTATAGCACTGTTCAAAACCCACTGATATTTAATATCTGTGGGTTTTGAACTATTGGTTGTGCAAGAACATCCACTTAACAATGTCAAGAAATTGCACTGGGCATTTTCTTTCACATTTTTGGCATATATTTTTGACATTTGGTAGACTTTGTGGAATACAGATTGAGAACATTGTCAGCAGATTCACTGTTAATGAAAATAATCAGTAGTTGCAGCAGCCCTACATAAAGCAGTAACAAGAGAATATATGTTGTCTGCATAAGAGCAACCATGACATTTGCAGACATTTCAAATTAAAATTTGCTAAGTGTGAAAAGGCAGTTTACACAATATTGTAAAAAGCAGATGAATATTGCTTCATTGCAGCCAATACAAGTAAAGCATCATCCATTCATCCATCAGTATTGTGCCTGAGGTAACAGTGAAGATGCATAATTAAAGCTTGCACAGATCATCTCTCTCCCACATTAAGACATTTAAGTTATATACTGATCTGTGTCCAGGAAGCAAGTCCTTCCTTTTAATAGCAGCCCTCACTACTGCCCTCCTGATCCAGTCATTAGTCACTACCCGCTATTGACTCGAGCCCCAGAGCTCCCATTAATTACACCTCACATTGAGCAGACACAATTGATCCACTCTGTCAATTACAGGCTCATATTAAGTCATGCAAGGCAACATTTATATTTCAGCTGTATGAATGTTTGGTCCATTCATGAGTGAAACAAAAAAGAGGCAGCTTCAGCTCACCTCTTAAGTGCAGAAATCACATCCACATCGTCATTTCATCTTCAACCTGCGCGGCGCAACAGATTTGAAACGGTGCCATTTGTCAACAGAGAAACGATGCACTGATACGCCGGTAACAGCTCGCTTACACTCGCACGTGCGAGTTCTTCAGCCGGTGGAAAGCTCCGCCGCTCCAAAAGACTTCGTCTGACAGACACGAGACCGGTTAAGACTATCAACCTGAACTCCTCCGTGTGATAAACTCCTCAAAACATGATAATACCATGGATTTAACCCAGAGAGTGGGAGAGGAAGAGAGTATCGATATGTTGTGCGTCCCTGTGTGAGTGGGACCGGGTGAGACGGTGACTGCAGGGCCGTGCAAAGCTTTTTATGGGTCTGAAGGGTCAGCCCCAAGCCTGACAATTTAAGTCTGTAAAATGGCTCTCACATTTAGTTTCATTCTTTATAAATGTGAAATACTTTCCTCAAGAGAAAGGGCACTGAAGTTTTTAGTAAATAACACACAGTCAGGAGTAAACTGTGCTTTTATTGGGTACTATTTTCAGCTGTGGATTAATACACACTTGATGCTCTGAGTATTTAAAGCCAGGAGGATACAGTATATGTGCTAAAAAATCTACAGTGCCCACAGTATTTCTGATTGATATGTTTTTAATAGTTTTTCTGGAGCTCTGCAGCACAGAGGAATACACTATATTAGTCTTTGGCTAAATAGTCAATACTTGTTAATAATTTTGGTCTTTTCATGGGGATTATTAACAAGAAAAATAGAGATT